ATGCAAATGAGTCGTGTTATTATTTGAAACAGCTGTTGGAACGCTTTAGTGATAGAGCTTTTAGCAGTCTTACCTGCAGTTTACATTCTATCCATCAGCTCTAAAAAAGTTGATGCTGGCTGTAGCCATTTTGATAGTCGACGTTAAGAGCGCGCTGTTAAATATTTAAGCCAGTTTAAGTAGAGCATTTTGAATAGCCTCAGGCTGCGTTTCTTAAATTTAAACTTATATTATTTTAAAGATCCAAAATATAAGAGATTTGTTTTGTAAGCACAAGTGGTGTCTTCTGATAAATTTAATAACTGTTATTCTAACCTTACGGTTATTCTAAGCTTTGTCATTTTGATTCAGACTAGACGGATAACTCGCCTATCAGTCCAATACGGTCTGAAGGACATTGATTTAAGCATGTATACAATTTAGAACCTTACAACTTCTGAGCCAAGATTAACAAAGTGATTCAATATTTCAGGTTAATTGAGAGTTATTAGTAGTGTTACGAATTTGGTATTTAAAAAGCTAATGTTAGTTCAATTACAAATTAAATGGTTTTATTTCTCGCGCAGTGCAGCGCGTGACGAATATTAAAAGAAAGCTAAGCCGGAAAATTGAAAATACGAGAGGGCGTGCATTAAATAAATAAATATCTCTTTCTGATTTCAAGAAAGTACTGAAAATTCTAGCGCGTGATTTTAAAATCTTATAAAAGGAGGAAAACATCTCAGTTTGTAGGAGTTGCTTAGTTTGTTGTTGTTTAAAAAAAACTACTGTTGTTGATTGTAGCGAATTCGTGGATTAGCGTTCTTTAGCTGTTTTGAATTACGTTCTATTGGACATTTGAGTAGTTAAAAGAAAACTACTGTGAGATATTGTAATACTGCGTGATAATTTGAGAAAATTTAAGCATTTTTGTTGTGATAATAATAAATTTTTGTTCATTTTTTTTCATCGGACTTGTGCACTCATTTCATAACGAACCCGTACGCACGCAACAAATTTTGGTGTCAGAAGTGGGATTTGAATGCCAATAACAAGAGCGATGGAAGAAGAACAATTCAGGCAAATGATGACTGCATTTGCTGCTTTCCAAGAAGAAAAGATGGAAGGGGCCGTCAAATCCGTTAAGGAAAGAAATGAAATTGGGCCAGGAATCCGTTAAGGAAGAAGAAAGAAGAAATGAAATTGGGCCAGGCCAGGAATCCGTTAAGGACGAAATGAAAGCCGTTCAAGCTGGTCAAGAAAAGATTGAAGCATGTCAAGAAGAAATGAAAAGAGAAATTACCAGCATAATAGAAAATAAATTTGAAGCTATGGAAGGCAGAATTGACACAGTTGAAAAATAAAGTTGGACAATTGAAGAAAAAAGTTTCTTTCGTAAAAGATCAAATTGAAGAAAGAGTTTCTTCGGTGAAAGAAAGAAAGAAAATAGAAAAAAAGTTTCTTTCTGTAAAAGAACATATAGAAGGGAGAGAGTTTCGGCTGTGGAGGAACGAATCGAAGGAAGAGTTTGTGCCCGTCCAACACCAAAGTCGAACAACAAATTGATGAGAGAGTTTCTGCAGTTGCCAAAGAAATGGAAACGTTTAAAGAAAATTCGTAGCGACGGCAGGGAGCAAGAATGATGATTTTAAATTCTTACCGATGCCTGCTCGTCCATTTCTGAAGCTATCCACATATGATGGGAAGACATCCTGGCAAGTGTACAAGACCCAGTTTTCTTCGAATGCGGATGCGGATGGATGGATGTATTCCCAAGCTAAGGCCTGTCATCTCGCCGCTTCTTTAAGAGCCGACGCAGCGGATATCCTTCAGACTCTTCCCGAAAACAAAAGGTTAGATTTCGAAGCTCTGTCCGGCGCTTTGGAGCTGCGCTTTGGGGAGAAGTGTTTAAAAGACTACAGCAGGCTCCAATTAAAATCTCGTCAACAGAAGCCTACCGAAACACTTCAGGAGCTCGCCACGGATGTTGAAAGGCTGTCCCACCTCGCCTTTTCGGAGTGCCCGACAGAAACAAGAGAAATCCTGTCGCTGCAATATTTCATCGACGGCATCCGAGATCCTGAAATACAGAAAGCTCTTCGAATGGCAGATGTAAAAGGACATGAAAAGCGCTCTGTTGTACGCCATGAAGTTCGAGGCAGCCCAGCAAGCACTAGTAGAGATCGCTACCCAGTTAGAGCTGTGCGAGTCCATGAGCCAGTGGATCAACTGATGGCTCGTTTAGATGATTTAGCCAGACAAGTCGACGGTTTGATACGGAGTAGGAGGGAGAAGAAAGTGGCTCTAAGGTGTTGGAGATGTGGTAGTGAAGGTCACCTAAGACGGAATTGCAGAGCACCCCAGGGTACGGAATATAAAGCAGATGATTTTACCAGACAAGTCAGTGGCTTGAGACGGAACGTATGTGAAAAGAAACTAATTCTAAAATGCTGGAACTGCGGAGTTGAAGGCCACATACGAAGAAATTGCAGAACATCCCGAGGTACGGAAAATAAGACCATTTCCCAGCAACGACGCAGTAAACAAATTAGTGACCATATCGAGGAACGGAGGTTGTCAGATAATGAAAAACCTTGTTTTAAAGCGCTTAAAATTTATACAGTGAGTGGCAACAGTAACGGAATGTCCATTGATGGGAATATCGATGGAGTTCCTTGCGATATGATCATTGACACAGGAGCTAATGTTACCATCATTAGGAAAGATTTAGCTGAACAGTTTTAAAGATAAAACTTATTTGGACGCCATCCGTGGTTACCCTTCAGACTGCATCTGGTGATAAGATCGACATAGTTGGGAAGTTAAACGTGAACATCACGTTTGGAAGTGCCGCCTACCATCATATGGCATATGTGGCGGATATTCACAGATCCATGCATACTTCGGATTGGACATTTTAAGGAAATATAAATTTTCCTTAGACTTCAAAAACAATAAACCTGCTTCTCAGCATCTGAGTGACATGACGATCCATCTTTCAAGAAGGAGATCATCGCCTTGGAAATGCCGACGTCTCTTGTCCGAACGAAAGACCCTAGCTTGGAAAGCGAAACTGCCGAAATCATACTAGGGTCAGAAAGAAACACCAAGACTACATGGCTATTCTCCATCTCAGATGCTCTTCGGTCGAGACCTTCGTCTGCCTTGTGACCACGTGTTTGATCGCCATACGGATGCGCCTTCATCGCCTGAGGAACACATCCAAGACGCCCAGGCCCGGTTTGAGGGGATGCACCGTTCTGCACGAAAGCGAGTCAACTTGGCGACGGAGAAAATGAAGACCAGATACAACACGAGAGCTACTGGACATAGATGCAACAAAGGAGACAAGGTGAGGTTGTGGAACCCGATTCAACGAAAAGGACTCAGTCCTAAATTACAGTCACCTTCGGATGGTCCATATACAGTCCTGAAGAGACTGAATGACGTCATGATTCGTAAGTCTTCGAACTCTAAACCTAAAGTCGTTCATTACGACAGGTTAGCTCATTGTTATGGCCATACTACATAATGTAAATAATTGTAAATAGTGTAAGACCATGGTCCTTTATGTTTTTAAATGTGTATTTGATTTGATTTGTATTTACTATTTGTTTTGTATTTAGTATTTGATAGCATTTGATTTGTTTAAGTTAGTTATTGCATTTATTATTCATGTTGTTTGATATTGTGATGTAATGTTTATGCAACAGTTGTAAGTTTAGCTTCCTGTCCAGGGATTGTACTGCCCGGGACGTGCAGTCCTTGGGAAGGGGGCAGTGTTACGAATTTGGTATTTAAAAAGCTAATGTTAGTTCAATTACAAATTAAATGGTTTTTTAAATACCAAATTCGTAACAGTACTTATTATACGTTTGTAAGTGGAATATAATTGGTTTTGCTTCCATTTATCTTCCTGCACATTTTAGCCACCGCTTTCCCCACAGAAGGAAAAACTGCTGTTAGCGTTCTCATTCTCCCTTGCAGATATAACACCACCACAACGTTGACGAAAATTTAAGTTGTCATTAAAATACTCCAAGAAAAAGTTTATATTTTAAATTTATAAGAAAAATGATGCTCTTCCTTAATTATTCGGATTAACTTCAGAATTAAAAATGTTCTAAACTTACATTTTAAGAATTAAAATACTCAAAATGAAAACTATATAAACACAGCTATGCAATTATGTATCATTGTTTCGCTCTTTCACTCTACAAATCAAATAAAATTCATTCCTTGATGCTTTAATTTAGAGAAATAAATTTAAATTGATTATTTGAAAATATTCTGAAATTATTCAAGTACAAGATTATGCTTAAAAATTTTATGCAAAATTTATTCCGTTTCTAATAAAATATCACTTTCGAGTTCGGAGATTTTCCCCCTCTCTTTTACGCTCTGTCTAATATTTTAGTCGTGCCATTTCCTTCTGTGTTTAAAGTTAAAAAGTTTCTAACCTTTAAACAGAGAACAAAATTTGATAAATCATTTTTAATTAGAGATAGTTAAATGGCCTTTACAGATAAAGATTAAGTTAAACTATTTTAATATAATTTATTTTAAAAAAGGATCGTCTGGATTTTCCACATAAGCAATTCACGTTTCGTTTTTTCACATGTATTATATAATAACTTATAAGTTCTTTTGTTCAGATGTATAAATATATATCAGCTGTATTCATACTTCTTTATTAATCTGCTGTTTCAAAGTAATTTCAATCTATTTATATTTAAATTATAAATTATTTTTTTTTGCGTGATTTTCAAGGTAAATAAAAAATTCGATCGATAACTGAACCTACTAAAATAGCTATCTAAAAGCTCTTTTCTATACTGAGAGTGAGATCCCTTTCGTTAAAGGATCCGAAGTCAGGGCGACGAGAAGACAACCCCTCTTCCAGCGAAATCGGCGCTTGCGCTGTGGAGGATTTCTCTCTTCGATCACCCCTCGGCTTTCAATGAGTCACTCCGATGTCCGCCATGATGCCGCGCCGACGCAGGGCGTCTCCGGAGTAGATCGTGAGTCTCCAGCCCCACCCGGCGGTCGACGACGTGTTGTGTTCTCCCGAACAGTTAAATTCTCGACTGGACGACTGCTTAATCGGATCTCACAGAAGACGACCTACGGCGATCTTCGCCATCATGTGGCCCCCTTTTCGTCGGCGCCCCGGCGCCTTAAAACCAGGGCGCGCTCGGAACATTCTCTGACATGGGGAATGAGGAAAGCCAACAAGGGGGCGGCGCCCCCGGACAGCAACAACAGGGCGCCCCCGGATCGGTCCCCTTCGGCATGGGTGGAGGACAAACTCAACCCAGATTCGGTGGGCCCCAACAACCGCCCGGCATGCGGCAGGTGGCCCCTACCGGGAGACCAAATCTCCGACCTGGGGGTCCCGGACCACCTCAACCGGCCATCAGGGGGCAGTATCCAGGCGGTCCTGGCACAGTTCCTAGACAACAGGGGCAACAAGTTCGTCCCGTTCAGGTAGGCGTTCAGCCTTGGGCAGAACCTCCAGTTCAACAGCCGCAACGCTTTCGGGCCCCCGGACCTCTGCAGCAGCAGGCGCCCCAGCAAGCGAGACAGCCCCAGACAGCTACTCCCTTGCGACCCATAGCACAACAACAGCAGTTGCAGCAACAGCAAGCCAAACAGCAACATCAGCAGGCCATGATGTTGGAAGAGGACATTGGTGTTGATCTAAGTAACTTGTCCGAAGAAGAGAAAGCCAAGATACTATCCGTGATGGCCAGAGCCCAGGATTTGGATGAAGACTACGAAAGGCACAAGAGGTAAGTTATAAGTATTAATTTTTGTTCGTGATAATTTATGAATGTTTATTATAAACTACTGCTCCTTTATTTGACAAACATTTTAGAGTGTAAAGCTGGGAAATTTATAATGCACACTAGCATAGTATAAGGCACAGGGATTATTTTTCTGTTTGATTTTAAATACGTTGCAATATTAAGTAAAAATTTGCTTTATAATGCTGTGAATTTTAAGTAGTGTTTATGAGTGTTGTATACATATATGAGTTTTAATACAATTTTAAATTTCTGGCTTTTTAAACGTGACGGTTTACAAATACAAAATATTTAACTTTTATGTCATAAATGTAAGGCGTAAATTTTAAAGTCTTCTTTTTTGCATATATTGCTTAGATATAGTTTAAAGAACAGTTTCATTTTTATATTGTGAATATAGCTGCGTGGATCTAATTATATCAAGTGGATCTAATTGTTTTCACATAATCATTGTAATAGAAATAAATAACATTAAAATCCAAAATGCACAAATGAATTGAAAAGACTACACGTTTATTTAAACATCTTAAAAAACACTTCTTCATGATTAGCTGAAAGTAAGGCATAAAACGCTTTTTTATTCTGATAAAACAATTTATTTATTCTTGAAACTATTATGCAGCTTCAAATGTGAGATTTAGAACAGTGTCTTTTGACGATACACGTACATAATTATTGAAAAAATGAAATGGATTCTTAATATAAGATTTTGAAGTTTTCTTTGATTAAAATTTTGAGTTCTTTACTTAGAAGAAAGGAACACTAAAAAAACTTTCAGATAAGCATACTATTTAAGTAAACTTTCCATCATTTATGGGATAAAATATACCGAAGTTACAGAATTAGTTAATGTCTGTGCCCTGCTATCGTTAGATTCCTAAGCATCAATGTTTTGTGAATTCATGGTATACGAAATAGAAATTAAGTTCAAAATCCAGGGTTATTTTCCAAATGAACAACACTTCAGAATTTTGCTTATATAATTATCATAAGTTTGCACTCAAAGCATTAATATTTGATCGATACAATAATGGGGATTAAACAACGGTAATTTTTTTTTTCTTTCCCCGTTTCTTATAAGAGCAACTAGAGTATTCATGCAAAACGTAATCTTATCTATCCCTTTTCCTGTCTTTTCTTCATGTTCTTGCTTGATTTGTTTTCTACATAATCTTTACTTTCCGTTGCTTGAGGTTTATTGAAAGGTTTTTGTAAATTTATAACATCGTGCTAAGCTTCATCTCGAATTTCCCGGTTTTTCTAGTGGAAACGTGTGTACTTAGAAAACATAATTCTCTTGGTTGACAATATGTATTCTTTCTTACAGGCTTTTAGGGTAAAACTTTGAATTTGCTTGCTGTCAAATAAAATATCCAAATTTTTACTTTTTTAAAATTTTAGCGTACTGAAATTAGTATCAAGGAAACTACATGGAATTTTCTCAGTCTTCCATTAATGTATAGTGTTTTAATGAGTTACGTGTGGTAATATGTTATTATTACTTAGAAGAGTCTTTTGTGGAGTGGTTTTGCTTTTAATTTCTGCGAAATCTTTTCAAGAAAAGTAGGCGTTGTTATTTATTGGTACTGAATAAAATATTTTCTTTATCTTCGATATTAAAAATTTGTACTGATGAATATAGCTCTAGGTCAATCTTTTAAAGGATCAGTTGAACTGTTATTTAACCTATTTTTTTAGTAACTTTTCTTAACAAAACTAAGTTATTTTTAACAAGAGTTGCTTTATATTTTATATGTCTTAAGGGTTAAAATAAGCAGTGTGAAAAATTGTACATTTTAATACTACTTCCTGAGTATACTACTATATGCATTAAAAATGGAAGTTAATGATATGAAGAAGTTTTGAAATAATATAAAAGATTACATAAGTCTTATTATACATAGTAAATTTATACATATTATGTTAAATTATCTACACTATTAAAATCTGAGCGCATCTGTTTGTTTGTGGTATCATCTCCTCCGTAACTGGGAGGAGTACCCCCGGATTCCAAAATTCGTAGGAAGCCATTTCGACAATTCTCATCTTCGTACAACTTTAATCAGCCGAGATATTAATTAAAATTTTTTCCGAGTGGCAGCAGTCTCGGGAGCCGCTGGAGATAAAAATGCTTTATTTCGAAAATTCTACTCGTTTTCAAATCGTAGAGTTTGTTAATAAAAATTTGTAAGTTTTACAAAATATGAAATAAAAATACCACTGCTCAGCGTTAAATATATTATTAGTCCAAAGGGATTTTGTCCCTGAGGGATTATTGTTTTCGTTCTGGCATTTTGCGTTGAATCTTTGAAAAGCTGTATCACTTTTCTAACTGTTGCCACCAACTATTATCTGTCTGTATTATATTTGAAGAAATTAAATAATGAAGAATCTACATAAATGTATGTATGTTTCTCGCATTGTGATAATACAACGGTACCTAGAGCCATAAAATTTTGAATGATGTAACTCTACTGCAAATATGGGCATCTGGAAGCCCAAATTTGAAATTTGGAATTTGTTTTATGATCGATTTCATATTTTGTAAAACTTTAACAAAGTTCTGATTAACAAGCTCAAGGATTTCAAAGCGAGTAATGGCAACGTTGTACAGAAAAAACATTTTTGTGTCCAGCGCGAGAGACTGTGTTTTGAAAAGTCTAAAGATATGCTCAATTTATATCAATATTGCTTTTGAACTGAATTTTATGATTTAAGTGCGAAGGACACGCTATTTAATTTAATTTAATTTAATTTTTAATAATTAGTAATTTTTAATACAGACAGTTTGAGTTTTATGTATTTTTGCCTTGTCGAGAAGTGAGAGACTGAGAACTGAATAATTGAATGAGAAATACTCAATCGTCTGTGTGAAAAAGTTTCTTTTTTGGTTTGTTTGCTTAATTTCTTTTATAATCGTTCTAGCATTTATTAACGATTGATAATTCGTTAAATGAACAAATGTTACAAATTCTGATATAATACGAACGAAATATAATAAATACTGTTAAGTGAACCTAGCGTCAGAGTGTCGCTATGGTAAACAAAGTGAATTTTAAAGAATGCATTTATTCTATTGTGGTTTATTGCGCGCTGTCGGCGAAGTAGATTTAATTAAATCCAATAAGTTTAAATGAAATGCAAGAAAAAATGCGTATAATTTAATATTCCGTACAAGGAAGTCATGTGGTGTACACATCAGATATTTTTATTTTTATTATATGAGGTCATAATCTGATGTTGAAGAAAGCACGAGATTGCAAGTGACGTCATTATATGCCGAAAACGTTTCGTTAATGTCACTAGTTTAAATAAATAGCTGCTGGTGGCAACGCTTTTTATTTCAGGTTAGGATAATTGACACGATATGTTACTGCCATGTTAATTCTTTTACTGATATTGAAAAAAAGTTGTTATATTGCATTAAATTTAAATCATGTCGTCACACGTATTACCTGAAATGTCAAAAGGTTTTGTTTAGAAGTTTTGCAACAACAAAAAGTTATTTACGAAATGGTTGTTGCTTGGAAAGAATAAACCGTTTTCATTCATATTGAAATGATTTAATGTATTTTCTTCTCAGGTGTACATAGTACTTTTAAATTTTTCGTTGGCCGAAGCCCGCTAGTATATATTAAATTTCGTTCAAATGGTAATTTCCTATTTTAATATTTGTGTTTATATTTTTTATATTAAAAGAGAATGGAATGCAGAAACAAACGCTCGAGCTTGTAAAATTGAAACTAAATTTGAGATGAGTTTTAATTTTATTCAACAGTAGAAATTTACTTGAATGAAATACCAATATGTATTTAATATGTATTTAAGAAGATAAGGGAAATATTTGCAGGACATTTTTGCATTGTTAAAACTTTTATACATTTTATTATTTTAAACTTTATAATGGCAATCTTCTTTGAAGTTTTAAAAGCGTAATTTGAAATTTTTCAGATTATAAAATTTATTCTATTTTTCAGTATATTTAATTTACAATAACAAGTTTAAGTTTGTTCGACATATTTTACAAACGTTTTACTTACATAACATGGATTTATGCTAAAATTCCAATTTAGTACTCCAGCTGTCAAACCGTTTTATGTGGGATCTGTACTCGGAAAGTTTCCATAATCTATCAACTCTGTTAAAGTGAAATGATGTTATAGGAATATCATGTTATAAAGGAGTTTTATTCTAAGAAGATATAATAATTATTTTCAAAGATAACTGTCAGAAAAAAAATTGATGAGCATATTCAAGGGAAAAATTCTGAAAGTTAGCAACAAGTTTAAACATTTATATTACAATCCACTTGTTTCATTTTTTATAATGTACTATACTTGCTTGATGCATGTATTCACAAAAACAGAAGTCCTCTGCATTTTCAGTTATTTACAAATGCTGCAAATATAAATATGATTATAAATTTTGCATTTCAGTTCAGTTTTACTTTATGATTAAAAAGAACAGTACCTTGAAAAACTACAGAATCATTTTCTTGTGGTAACATCCTTCTGCGTGTTATTTTTTTAGGATAATTCATGTATTCAAACTACAGATATTTTTTAAATTTAAGGTTTGAATGTAAGACAGAGTAACTGTAAGAATGTAAAACAGAGTAACTGTAAGAACTGTAGACTGTAAGAATGCATCTTGAATTGCTTACAAAACAAAGTTGCCTTAGATTAGATGAAACATAGCTGTGGAATATTTCTATACAATAAATGTAACTGTTCATTCTTTTCGAAGAACAAATCGTGAATAAGAATTTATTAACTAATTATAAACAGCTTATTAATTAATTAATTAAGCAAAAATTAAAATAAAATTACGCATCTTATTTTTGTTATGTGATTTAAATTTTGATGTAGTTTTTGAATCATACACATAGCTGATTATAAATGAAGCTGATATTGCTGAACGTCTCTGTAGAACAGACTGATGTTGCTAAACGAAAGTAATATAGTCATCAAGCTATCACCTCGATG